TATATATATATATATAAAATGTGTGTTTGTGTGTGTGTGTGTGTTTTAAAGCTTTTCTAACTAGACTAAATGTGAATAAACATTTAGACACTATCACAGAGCTACTTGATGATTGCATTGTGTGTTGGGTACTCCATTGAAATTATTTAAATATCTTATGAATAATATTAATTTGATGCCACAGAGGTAGAACTAAATAACAAGACAATATAACAATATATTGCAGTTTAACTACATAAACTACAGCTTAAAAAGTACCATAGAGTGCAATTATCATCACTCTGTCCCAATAAATACTGAACAGTTTGCTTCATGCTACTATATTGCATGGGTTGCTTTTTATTGTCCTTATGTTCTTGCTGTTTTGTCCAGTTGGTGCAAGTTATGTCAGGGTCTCAGGGGGATTGTGATAGGTAAAGCTTCCTAGCATTTGATGATACTACCTTTTTAGCATTTTTTATTTACCATTCAATACTGGTTTTGTGTGTGTGTTTTCTGAAGGATCATGTGGTGGGCCTGGCCGTTCCTGCCCGCTCTGGTGCTTCTCTCCGAGCTCTCTGTGGTGAGAGTACAGACTGCGCCATGCCAGACCTGCCGTAAACTCTCAGACAGTTTCATTAAGGTACTGCACTTAAGTCATAGTGCCATCAGTTCATGCTTGTCTACTTGTGCCAAGTTTTAAGTCTTAAGATTTCCTCCTTTTTAGGGCTTGGGGAAAACAGCCAACAAGAACTTTGGGGGAGGTAACACTGCCTGGGAGGAAGAAAAGCTCGCCAAGTATGCACGCAGGTAAGGGAATGTTTTAATTGGAGTCAAACCTGCATTACTTGATCTAAAGGAATTGTGCAGCCAGTTGGCATAAGTCTAGACAAGAAGTCTAACAGCATACTTATCACAGAAAATGTATTTATGTTCTAACATAACCAGCTCCTACTTTGATCTTTCTTTAAATTTCAGAAGTCCTTTGTTTTTCCCTGCACAGTTGTATGATATTTTGTAATGTGTGAATGATTACATAAGACCATCTATTTTAAATGTTAGTCCACTGAGGGAGGGGAGGCCTCTCAGTGGACCAGAGCAAGGCACCACTATTCTTTGAGGGTGTGTGGGTGGGACAGAATCTATTATGTTAAGGTACTTTGGTCTTGTATCTCTAATTGCTGGCCTCTTGTTTCAGTGAGACGCGGCTTCTAGAGATAGTAGAAGCTGCTTGTGAGAAAACAGATTTTGAATGTAACCAGCTGCTGGAGCAGATAGAGGACCAAGTGGAGACATGGTGGTTCCACAGGTAAGTGTGGTATTTGCATTATGTAGTTAAATTAATTGCTTTGTTTTGTGTTTTTGGTGAATCACAGACAGGAGCAGCTAATTCTTAATTAGGTGCAATTTCATGGGAAAACAAATTAGAAATGTCCTCGTTTCGTATTTAAGTAATGAGTGTCCTGTAATTAAAAAAGGATCTTCTGTAATTAAATTAATTTGAGTCCCACATTTATTGACAGTATTGGCCCCAGCTGTGTGTGGAATTATGTTTTGTTAAGATGTATTACCATGCCCGTTTTAACTCAATGACTGATGTAATGTATGTGTCCTGTAGGCAGCAGGAGGCACCGGACCTGTTTGAGTGGCTGTGCATAGAGGAGCTGAGACTCTGCTGTCCACCTGGACGCTTTGGACCCGACTGCAAAGGTGTGAAAAACATTAAGAAATAAACAAAAGCTTCCTGATATAAGTATAGAAAACCCTAACAGGCTAAACTGAATTTTTCCAGATGTGAAAATAACAATGCTAAGGTAGAGCTTTGGTTTGTACTTCCAGCGTAGCACTAATAGCATATTTATCCAATACAGAGTGTCCATCTGGCCCTGGTGGTGTTTGTGGAGGTCTGGGACGCTGCGAGGGGGAGGGGACTCGCCTGGGAGATGGAGAGTGTGTGTGCGATCCCGGATACTCAGGCCACCTGTGCCAGAGTTGTGCTGATGGCTACTACAGAGAGAAAAGCTCCAATGACAGCATTGGAGCCTGTGCAGGTGCCTCAGATTTAGACAACTGTTTCAACCCTCTACATGGTTTTAATTCTGTTTGAGGTCATCGAAAATTGACCCTCTCACTGTCTCCTCCTCTTTCATTATTTGTAGCTTGCTACCACTCATGTAAGAAATGTGCAGGGCCACAGGACTACAAATGCTTTGACTGCAAACCTGGCTGGATGCTTCATGACAACAAGTGCGTGGGTGAGTGTGGCTTTAAAGGTCATGTGGCAACATTTCATTGACTCTGTGCCAGTTTTCTGGATGCGTGTTATTTGACTGCCCTTGTATGTCTCTTAGACATTGACGAGTGTGGTACAGAGCTGGCTCGCTGTGCGTCTAACACCTACTGTCACAACACAGATGGATCATATGAATGCAGAGGTATGCTCTTTTGTGTAGCTGTTTAAGTTACTGGTGTCAGTGTACTGTATTGTACCTAATGAAAGTACCTAAAATGTCAGAAATTTTTTCAAAATATTGAAAAATGCCTGTTATTTCCCACAGCTCGAGGAATTTGTGTTTAAATTGCTTGTGTTATTTGCTAAACAGTCCAAAACCCAAAGACATTCAGTTTACTGTCACATATGACAAAGAAAAGCAGCAAATCTTCACATTTGAGAAACTACAACCAGTGTTTGTCATTTTTGCTTGAGAAATTACAATCTTTTTCAAAACACTCGCCAATAAATTGATTTTATTTAGCTCTAGTTAGGTTACTTACTGTAAACCTCATTAGTTGCAGTTCTTTGTGGTAATTTTCCACTGAGTAATGTTGACCACTTTGCTTTTGCTTGTATCCAGGCTGTGACCAGGCGTGTGTGGGCTGCATGGGTAGTGGTCCTGCCCGCTGTAAGAAATGTTCACGTGGCTACAGATTAAAAGGAGCCAAGTGTCTCGGTAAGGATATACCTTTTTATTTACCTACTTTCTATAGCACACCTCTGTATCTTTTCCTCATTTCCTTTAAACTGTCTGTCTTTGCTGCCTCACACAGATATTGATGAATGTAGTGACCGTGCAATAGCATGCCCAGGACTCAATGAGGCTTGTATCAATGAGGAGGGCTCCTTCCACTGTGACTGCGCTGATGGATTCATTAGAAGAGATAGCATTTGTGTTGAGAATAAGCCACCTGGTAAGTAGTCGTAGCAGTAAATATACAAACACATGATTTGTTTACAGCTTCTCAGATGTGTCGATTAAGTTTCTTCTCCTCTACCACCTCAGCTGGGCCAGAGAAGGGGCTGTTTGATGACATAACAGATGAGGAGGTCCTTGTGCTTCAGCAGATGTTCTTTGGCGTGGTAATCTGTGCCCTAGCTACGCTCGCTGCAAAGGGCGACATGGTTTTCACAGCCATTTTCATTGGAGGTGTGGCCGCTATGGCTGGATACTGGCTGACAGAAAAAGGAGACTACATGCTGGATGGATTTCTGAAAGGACGCTAGACAGTCTGGGACCACGATTTGGAACCTTGGAATACCAGCCGGTTAGGGGCAGGAAACTATCCCTACAATGCTTGCCTTTCAGGGATTTATTTGGGATTGGGGAGTTACTTGAAAGGGCTTGGGTTTGTTTATGTTTATGAATAGACAATGCAGGAAAAACTGAGAACTTGAAGGCCATGAAGCGTGAATCTTGAAGGGGAATAACAAAGCAACACTGCACTGATGTAAAGGAACTAAACTGAATCCCCTACCTCGACTCTGTTGGGAACAAGGGTGACGTGAAGACCACTACTGATTGTTAAAGTTTATTATGCATTTGGATGTTGCTCAAGAAATGATGTCGTTTTCTTCCACACAATCAAAACCTCCTGTCGCCGTGTCCATTATGTTTTTCATTATCTCAATGCTTCTTGTAATGGGCATGGGGTTAGATAAGGGAATTTCCACAATCACCCCAAAAAGAGAGCTCATGGAAACTCTGGGATATTTCCATTATGAACCACTGATTATTTATGTTCACAGAACGACTTTTTACCTCCTTACTTACTGAATGATTCTTTTTAGTAATAATGCATGAAAATAGAATTTGAAATGAAAGGTACAACACTGTATGTATTAATTTATTGTTATATTTTGGCATGGAAGACTGACTTCAACAGCTGCTGGATCACCAACATTACTGCTATTGACCATTTAATGAGTGTGTGAGGGAATGTGCTTTGGGAAAATACCAGCTCTAATCTGGATGATTAAAGCCATTTTCTGTTGCCTTTTAATTTATTTTGAAAGCAATATTTATTGGAAAGATGTTTATCATATTTCACATTTCCTGTATATTTTTGTGTGCATTTTCAATGCAATTTTTAAATCTGTTCAGTTGTAATTCTAGCAGATATTGTAGCATCATGTTAGAAAGCCACTGAAGCATCACTTCTTACCCGTCCATCTAATTTCTTTGGGTTTTCTATTGTGGGAAGTTGTTCAGTCATTATTCATTATCGATGTTCGCTTTACAATAAAAAGTTTGTCACATCTCATGTTTTTTGTATTCAAAATTTTAATTTCATTTCATCAGGCCTCCTCTGCTCTTTACATAAACAGAATGAGGGGGAAAAGGTAAGTAAAAGATTTTTTTTTACTTCCTGTTGTATCTAACTAAGACTTGCTGGAAGGAAGTCAATCGTTCTTAAAGGGGAAGTTTGTTTGCAGGTCTTGCTTTACTAATATAAATGTGAAAAGTCATATAAAGCCTTTTGTGGCTCCAGATGGAGCTGTGTGAAATCTGATTTAATGATGATGAAAATAAGTATGAAGACCTAAAGTTTGAAAATGAAAAAAAACAAAAAACTGGGGGTGTCGAGTTAGAAACAAGTGAGATTCCCAGACCTCTGAGGCCCAACCCTCATCTCCGCTTGAGGTTCATTAGACATTACAAGCATTTGCACTAACTTTGTGGGTAATTTAGGTAGCAGGTTGAAGGTTGCAATGCCAAGTACTGTATTGGAACCCACAACAGAAAATAATGTTTATAAAGTAAAATTGAAAAATAACCAACATTTTTATTCATACAGAAAAATACTGGACAGCTTCATTTGGCTCATCTCAGTTTAGAAAATCCAGCACTAATTACATGTACTATACATGTTGTATTCCATTTTAATCTGACACTCACATGCCCAAGTGCTTCGGTGAGGCCTGAGGTCTGAAGTTTTTACTCTGGATGTTGAGGTTCAACCTATTTCAGTGTTCCACTCCAGTTAATGGGGTTGAGGCACAGCAGCCTTCTCTCCTTCAGGGCCTCCTGGGAGCGTGTTAGTGCTCTGTCCCTCCAGCTCTGCTCCATTAGCTGCACGCACACACACAAAGCAGAGACCAGAAAAAAACCTCAAACACTCCCTATATTGTTGTAACCTGAGAACACCCAGCATGTTTAAGTATTTTCAGGACATCATTGTATGGGGCATAAACACAAAAGCATTAGCAGTGTATACATTATTTATGTGTCGGACTATACCCTCTTGTTCTCATCTCTGTAAGCCGTCATTGCTTTGCTGTGCTGGATTCTTTGCTCTCTGTCACTGGACAGTGCAAGGTGGTCCACTTCTCGAATATGCTCTGCTTCCTTCACTTTACTGGCCAGCTGCAGCTTCAGTGCTACGCATTTCTCCTCCATCTGCTTCTTTAACTGCTCTCGCAACTCCTTCCTACAGGAAAGAGACTTTTCTTTGTCACCAGTGAACGTCAAGAAATATATATGCAGCATGTTATGCATTTCTCATTTAGGAAAGAGGATAAAAGAAAAAAAGTCATCAGTACAGGTAGTGAGGTGAAAGTGTTCATAATTTTACCTGTACTCTTCTCTCTCACTGCTGGTTCCATAAAAGGGTTTTCGCCACACTTGGTGATACCTAACACATCAACCAACTATAGGTCAGTGACTTTGAATTCAGCTCTCTAAAACAAAGCAGGCCCCATTAATTCTAAATCATATACAGTGAGGTATTATGTGAAATGCTCCTACCTGTAATGCTCTCTCCTCTGCAGGATGAGCGTCCTCTGGTGGTTGTGGTGGTGTACAGCTGGCGTCTCCAGACTGACGGTGCGTTTATGGACCAAAGGTGGATGTAAAGGGTTCAGTCTCGGAATACTCTAGGGAAGATAATTATGCAAGTATTTTTATTTTTACCTCAAAGCGAACACCATCATCCTATGAGTCTGTCAGTCAATTAATCTTAATGTCATTGAATCTCTGCTCACCTGAGTGCTCGTCCAAAGCCGGGCAGAGTCTGAGATGATGGGAAAGGTCATGGGAGTGACCACCAGGCAGCGACTCTGCCGGACAGGAGTTGTGTCTTGAGGAATACACACTGGTGTGGAAGCGATAGAGATGGCTGCTGTGGTAACGAAGATTGAGATGAACAGAATCACAGCAGATTTAATATGTTTACCGGTAACACTAAAATGGAAAACAAATGGAAAAAATAAAGCTGTTTTCTTACGTAGTTTCATTTTGTAGTTTAAGTTCTTCTGTTCACCCACCAGAGAAATGCAGACTTTGAATGAAACTTTCCAAGGTGCCAAATCCTGCACTATTGAATTATCTTCTTAAAGTTGCAATTCTGTTATAGGTAAATCATTACACAACTCTAAATATGAATATGGAAAATGTATGTACTGGTACTAGTTACAGATTAAACAGAAAAATGCCTGTGCCTGTGAGTGTTTTGCAGTGGCAACAGTTGCCTTGGGAATCAGGTTACCGCCCACAAAAAGAAAGCTGCTACGTGGAGTGTAAGGCCACGCATCAGTGCACTCGAAAAGAAAGATTATTAGCGTGTGACAATGGACTAACCAGATACACTCAGAAGATGTCTCCGGATGGCATAAGAAAGCAAGTCAGGCTGACTGAATAATGCACTCATGAATCATTTCAACTTTTAAACTACTTAAAACATTTTATTACAGATTAAGTAAAACTTTTTGAGGAAAGGATAATGTTGATATCTTCAGACTGTCACTGCATCATTTTAAAGCAATTCAGGTTTAACTTTGTAAGTTCATCATAATACTCATATTGTTACATAACTGCAGTGTTGCGATATAACTTATTTTCTTCCTTGACGTTCCTCAAACTTTGTGTTTCAGATTCCGAGTGTTTCATGGTTCTCCCACAGCCAGGCATGGTATTTGTTTAACATGTGATCTTCAGGTGTCACCTTTGATGTATATGTTAAAAAAAAACAACAGATTTGTCATTATTATTACAAAACCAACATAATTCACTGAAAGTAAAATAGTTGGAATTATACTGACCTGTCTCCATTCTCCCACACAGAAGATCCTGTAGGAGTCATTGCCATACTTCCCAATACCATGCAGCTCAATGGGGTAACGCCACTGTTTAGTTAGATATTCATCTACACAAGAGAAAAGGGATTTTGATGTTTTTTTCCGGCCACTATTGTCTTATATTATATTCTAACCAAACCAGTGACAGTGGCAACACAGTTACACTGCAATAATACTGTAATTTCTGTGCACAAACGTACTGCATGTACAGTAGAGTACCTGAGAAGCGAACAAGTGTTTTGGCCCTGAGCTCATACAGGCCTAGTGGCTTCATAAGTTCAGACATGGGCTTCCAGTCGGCCTCTCGGGTCACCTCTGCAGATGGGTAAAGTTCAAAGAACTGCCACAGTACTGGTATGGCCATCTTACCTAAAAGAGAGAAAAGCTAGACTTGTGTACTGGTTGGTACAATAATGTTGCAAAGCAGTGTGTTTATGTGTATGCTGGATCTTACCACTGGTCTTATTCAGAAAAATGGTGGCCACCAGGAGCTTCCAGGGGTCATGGAAAAGGGTTTCCTGTACGAGGTGGTAGGGAGAGCGAGGGGGTGTCCACTTCTTGAAGGCCTTCCTCCTGGGTGGGCTAAGGGCTGTTTACAGATGGTGTACATGTCTCCTTAAGCTACACACAACTTTATTTAATAAATGTTATGCTAAACTTTATGTCTCCCATTCAAATGTACACACTCTTTCTCTGGCTTTTTGAATTAAATGAACCATTTCAACTTTACCATCTTTGGGGGGTTTCTTGCTGAAATAAGGGCTTGTTTTCCGTTTGTCTTCCATGTTCTTGGACTCTAGGAAGACAGGGCAGATTTATTATTTAAAAACTAAGAACATATTTCTTACAGCATATAAGTGATGGGTAAACATTTTTTTAAACCCACTCCAACAGAGCAGTTCTTTCCAGACTTGCAAACTGGAAATGTAGTAACAACATAACAAAAGTAATCTCCAATATAAAGTCAAATATTTCTGTCCATGAACCCAAACAACACTTTACAAATAAAGGAGAAATGAACGAAGGGAGGCACAGTTGGTGACTAGTTCAAATGCTTCCAACATAGATAATTAATACACATTTATGCATTTTTTTGGGCATGTCCAAAGAAAAAAGATCCAACCTTATACAACATATGGATTCAAAAACTATGGAAACATGGGAATTGGAACAAAGCACATCTTGCTATTCTGTAATAATTTACATTTATATTCCCCTCCCTCTTAATTAGACTGTATACTGTATCTCCACCCCCTTTTTTCCTTTTCTTTTTTTAGGTTCTGTGGGTATTTGGTTGCTTTGAATGTTTATAAGTATATAATATGAAGGCAGCTGGGAATCGGATAAAGAAAAACGGACACGTTAAAATTGTCCAAATTGTATTCAAATTGTACTGCACTGTATATAATGAAATTCGACTAAAAGTAAAAAAAAAGTTTAAAAAAAAAAGAGTAGATCCAAAGAAAACTAACTTGAGCTGCTGCTTTTACAAGCGGTGACAAAGTGTAGATCATACTTACTATTCTGGGAATCTCTCACTGGTGTGCCCCCACAAGTGATGTCAGGTAATAACACTTTGTCTTCCACATCCTGGTGACTGTCGGCATCAGCCTCCAGTTCAGAATTAGGTTTGTTGTCACCTTTGTCGTGAATCTCGTCGTCTCCGGCTCGTTCATCCTCACCCTCATTCTCGCTCTCAGTGGCAGGTTCAACATTCAGAATCGGGACAGAAGGCTGCGAGTGTGCCTGTTCGCACTTGTCAACAACCAAAGTGTTTTGCTGGTTACTGGAGGGAGCCAGTCTGAGGAGCTTCTCCCTGAGCAGACCCACCCTGTGAGGGCTCCTCTGCAGTGTGACATCCTCCACTGTGGTTGAAGGAGCAGCTTGTTCTTCTGGTATATGTGGGATCTCCTCTGGTACAATGTCAGTGTTAATATGGTTAGAATCCTCCAAACTCCTAACTTTCTTGTCTTTAGTACGTCTGAGGGAGGAAGAGGCTCTTTTAGATTTGGAGATATTTGGAGGTGGATCCAGTATTTCCCTTGCATCCTCCTGCTGTGCATCTGCATGTTTTTTCTTTCTTCCCCTCTGTTTCACTTGGGAAAGGGTGGTGATATCATTGCCTTTCAATGCAGTGAAATCAAAAAGGTTTATGTCCAAGTTCTCTTCTCCATTTTTTAAGAGGAAAGCATGCAGGGATGCTCTTGACCGGAACCTCAGCCCTTGGGGACTTACACAACAGAAATTCGACAACCAATTAGACACTTATTGAGCTGCATCTACAAAGCAAAGAGGTGATTACATACAGAGAAGATTACAAGAAAACACTGAGTCACCTTGTAATGTAGACGTCCAGTTTGCCTGCTGTCTTGCCAGCTTTCCTCTGCCTCACCTCCCTGATCCAGCCAGGGGGCATTATTGAAGTGTGGCACGAATCATCCTTGTCCTTGTGACTTTGTTTATTTGTGTCTCCGCTGGTCTCAAGCCGGATATGACAGCCAGCAGGGTGCATTTTGATGAGTGTGTTTTTTGTTTTTGTGGTGGAGTCAGTGTTAAAGCTTCAGCAGATGACTTTTTACTCCCACATCAGCCATTCCTGGTGTGTGTCACCTTTACCTAGAATTCAACAACAACAACACATACCTGACATCTCTCAGTTGTAGTAAAGAAGCAACCCACAGTGGATGTTACTGAACAGCAGATATTGACATTAAAGCCCCCAAAAACGTCAATGCAGACTTATTCAAAGGTTTACATGACATAACATTAACACTGGTCTAACTCCTTACTTCCATACAGGACAAATGCGTTGACCGATACTCTCCTGTCCCGGGTGCTTTCTGATGTCAACACTGTGGAAGTGGAAGTCTAGTTACGGCGAACACAACACACACAGGAAGTAGTGTGCCGATCCGAGTCTGCGCAGTAAGAACGAGTCATGAAAACGGAGCTTAGTATGAAAAACCGACCGAATATAACAACCTGTTGATAAAAAAAAACATCCAGCTGTCCTGTTTGCTGTTAAAAGGTGGAAATGAGAGCTGTTCTAGCATGGAAAGAAACTATCCGTGAACAATGGTGGGTGTCTACATGTTTTATATTCACGCTGTCAACCTAGGGATGTAACGCTTAAGGTGGTTAGCAACGGCGGTTGCTATGTAAACTAGTGTTAGCAGCTGTAGCTACGTTAGCACTTAGATTATCGTTCATAAATGACAGAGGCATGACAGAGGGTGTATGTTTCTTGTATGTGAGATGTAAGTTGGTGCTGTTGTTTATCCTGTCAAGAGTGAAGCATGTCAGAGTTGTAGCACGAACGTTAAGTTACATTAAGCCCATGTTAACGTTAAGCCAGCTAGCTGTTAGCTGGGGTTGTTGCTTCACGTCACTGTTTGATGTGAATGACATAACATTTAATCCAAGAAGCTATTAATAATAGATACTAGATAAGAAGTTATAAATATAACCGTATACCTCTGGCAGTCCAAGATAAAATGTTTCTGTACAGTCATACTTTTATTTACACTATATCCTAAAGTGTTGTTTGGGCTACAGTTCTGTTTTTTGTTGATTAACGTGGTTGGATTTTTGTGGATTTTTCTGCCAAAAAGCTGAATGGTTCAAAGAAACAAGTAAGAGGACGTTGCGATATGTATTTTTCTTTCCCTACTACTTTCCAAAATTAAGAATTATTACTTGTTTTGTCCAATAAGTTTTCCAAAATCCAAGATACTCAGTTTACAGTTAGATAGATAATTTATTCATCCCCAAGGGGAAGATCACAGTTTCCAGCCAGTATCCACAAACTGATAAAGAATAATAATCTTATAAAGGAAACTGTGAAAAAGCAGTAAATCCTTACATTTAAGAAGTGGAACCCAAAAATGTTTTGAATGCATTTAAAAAAGCATTTCCACAATGAACGGATAATCAAAACTGCTGTTTATCGATTAATAGATTAATAGATTAATAGATTAATAGAATAACATTTCACCATCTTTCTCTTTTGCAGTGTTTATGATCTTGCCTTCAAGCCAGATGGCAGCCAACTCATAATTGCTGCAGGACTTCGTGTCCTGGTAAGGCTTTTCTTGCTGTCTTTCGCCAAGAAACATATCGGAAGAATATATGAGTTGTTATTATTCCGTTTAATGTATTGTATTTTGGTTGCAGGTTTATGACACAGCAGATGGAAATATTATCCAGCCTTTAAAAGGACACAAAGATATTGTGTACTGTGTGGCCTATGCGAAAGATGGTACTCATCTGGCTCTCCATTTGTACACTACATTTTCCTGTATCAGTCACCACTATATTACTAATTACCGCATTGTTCTGCAGGTAAAAGGTTTGCCTCAGGGTCAGCAGACAAAAGCATCATCATCTGGACGTCTAAATTGGAGGGTATTTTAAAATATACGTAAGTATTACTTTTGCTCATCACTTCAGTATTAAGGTGTCCTCTCTGCCGGTTGTATTCCTCCATCTCTTTTTGTTTTTTGTGTTTATCTCTAGTCACAATGACTCTATCCAGTGTGTTGCCTACAACCCCGTCACTCACCAACTTGCCTCATGCTCTTCTGGTGACTTTGGTGAGTGCACCATGAGATTGAGTCTATATTAGACATTAAAATCTTGTACATAATATACTTTAAATGTATGAATATTTTTAAAAAGAGAGATTGCCCCCAATGGGTACTGGACATCTTATCAAACTTTTACCTTTTTAGGTCTGTGGTCCCCAGAGCAAAAATCTGTAAACAAACATAAAGTGAGCAGCAAAATAACATGTTGTGGGTAAGTGAAATTTGTAGTTACAACAGTTTGCAACATTGGTATACTTTAATGTGACGCATTAATGTTTAAGGGTTTCATTTGATTGAAGGTGGACAAACGATGGCCAGTACCTAGCCCTTGGCATGATGAATGGAGTGGTGAGCATTCGGAACAAGAACGGAGAGGAGAAAGTCAAGATAGAGCGTCCAGGAGGCTCCTCCTCTCCTATCTGGTCCATAGCCTGGAACCCCTCTAAGTTAGTCTTTTTAATTATTGCAGTATAAGACTGTAGAAAAAAACAGAATGGTATCTTAGCTTCACCAATTTACTCAAGTAAATGCCTCACACTGCCACACACTTATGCGCACTGTCCATAAATGTGCCATGATTTAAGTAATGATGAGTGAGTGAGAGTACATTGGCTTTTAAGTGAATAGGTGGTTTGGGCCAGCAGGTGGCAGTGGTCAACCATGGCGTGGCGTAACTGTTTGTGAGGGAGAAGATTATGTTGCCTTGGAAAAGCTGTCTGTTCTCTGGTGGCCCTTACAGCCAAAGCCAGAAAGCTCACCTGTAGCCACTGTTGATCAGGGCATTTGAGAAAAAAGGGACAGACATGAAGGTGAAAATTTGAAGGAGGAAGAAAAGAGAGGCCAGTGATGAGAGACAGTGATAGGATGCATTATTGGGTTTATTATTGGGTTGCTGTTTGGTCATCACAAAGGGGTCAGAACATGAGTTCAGCCAGGAAATAGTTTCTTTTGAGCTGCTAGGGATTCAGTGTCTTGTTCATGGATGCTTTGACAGGATGAATTCTTCTCAACACAAGGGCTTAGATGAAAAGATACATAGGCTTACGGTATATGACAACAATAAAGATAAATACAATACTCTGCCCTGACGTGCAATAAAAATAGTTGAGGATAAAAACATAGTAAGGCTAAAACCTTTCCATAAGCTTTCCAAAAGGCGTCAACGTAAGTCACCTCGTTGCAGAGTGATCTCTCTGCTTTCATCAACACTATCATTATTATCTAACCAATAAAATCCCCATCAGTTCAGAATATTGACTTGAGTACTTGCACCTAAAGTCATTTGTGTTGTATTGTCACAGGGATGAGCACAATGACATTCTGGCTGTGGCAGACTGGGGTCAGAAGCTGTCCTTCTATCAGCTCAGTGGAAAGCAGGTGAATATCACACGTCTACAGCATGTAATAAAAGTCCTGAATCCTAAATTACCATATGTATGTATGCTAACTAAAACTAACATGGTGACTAGGGAATATACATATACATATACATACGTGTATACTAACTAAGTCTTGTGCAATACGTTTTAATAAAATAAAGCTTTCTCCTCTGCCACTTCTGTTTAAAATGGCATTTTAACGTAGGCAGTCTCATTACCTTGCATGAGAAATACCAGAGGACTAATGAAAAAACACAATTGGTTCACTGTATATGTTATTACTCTCTATAGCAATAAGAAACAAGAATACTTGTGAATGAATACAGCTGCCTATCTGTTCAAAATATATGGTATTGGAAACACTTTACTGAGTTTAAGACCTGTGTTTCCTGTTGTAATCAGACTGTCAGGGTCTATTGAAACCATAACAGTACATTAGAAGTGATCCTGCTATGCTTTAATGGGCCCCTCACTGTCCCTCCTTCCTCTTAAATTCCCTGTGGGCAATACCATAATTATAGACAAATATGCACTGTTCATTTCTCTGCTTTTATGCCTTAGGCTCATATTTATTGTCATCGGCCTATTTATCTATTTAAGTGAACGTTTTGTTTTGATTACAACACCAGGAATTGTTCGCAATATAAGAAAATAACTACGGATTGTCAGTCAGCCTTTTTCCAGAGTGAGGAGAAACAGATGGACAGGGTTGGGGAACTGATATAATGTTGTACAAATGGACTTTGAACACTAATACAATAGAGGCTATTTAAACCAGAGAAAAAAAACTTTCCTTTTTGTCTATCTTTTCATAAAACACTCAAAGGGACGATTGAATGTACTGTAGACTTTGATGTGTGTCAGCCCAGACAGTGGGGAGTGTTGGCCCCATGCCCCTGGGCAGCAAATATGAGAAATACTTGTTTTGACCATGGTTTAATGTCCACTTCTCTCTTTGTCTCCCTCAGATTGGAAAAGACAGGATTCTTACATATGACCCATGTTGCGTCAGCTACTTCTCCAAGGGCGAGTATATAGTCATGGGGGGCTCTGATAAACAGGCCTCCCTCTACACTAAAGATGGTGTGCGGCTAGGCACCATCGGAGAGCAGAATGCCTGGGTGTGGACATGCCGGGTTAAGCCTGACTCCAACTTTGTGGTGGGTCCACAGCATATGAAGCCATATGTCTAGATACGTTATCCCTACTCTTAAATAACAGAGTGTGTCAGAGTGAGAGAATAAGAAGGAGAACTTAATGCAAAACACTGAAAAAAAAACCTCAGACCTGAGTGCCAGTCTGCATTTAATACATTTTCTTGATCTGATAGCACTGTAGCTCTTTAGCTACACAGATACGCAAGTCATTTTATTTTACAGTTACACCTTAACAGCTTTTCCTTTCACCATATTTAACGGAAAGTGATGAGGCATACAAGAGCTTGCAGATTCTTTCAGTTCTGCAGTGTAGATAGTGGAACAACAGGAACATTTTCCTACTCTCACACTCTTTTCTTAGAAGTGTTAATAAGATGTACTGCTACATTGTTATCTCTTATCTAGGTGTTGGGCTGCCAGGATGGGACCATCGCCTGCTACCAACTTATCTTCAGTACAGTTCACGGCCTCTACAAGGATCGCTATGCTTATAGAGACAGCATGACTGACGTCATTGTCCAGCACCTCATCACTGAACAAAAAGGTGCACTTTTGCTTTAGCGACAGGATATTGAATTTATAATTGAGCACCTAGTGTATTATGGTGGCACTCCAAAAAATAGGTTGAAGCATCACAGTTAGTGCCTTGATCAAGGGTATAGAGGCATTATTTTCAAGCAGTCAGCTGTTTTTCAAATGGCAGATATCTGATTTCAGACTTAATATAAAAGGATTTTGATTTTTATAAAGGAGAGGTTTCGGCACATTTTTACACATACATATAGTTGGTATTTT